GCTGCATATGTTCAGGAGCTACTACATGGGAAAAATACAACAGATGCTATTATAATAAACACTTTCTCAATTGTTCAATTTAAAGCTGAGATTGAGATTTGAGATGCAATAAAACAGACAATCTTCCTGCTCTATGTCTGTGGTGTAGAAATACATTAACCATGACTTCACCAGTCTGTGGAATGTATGTTTAACATGAAGTCTTTTTGTTTAGGAGGGCATTAGTTATTTTGAGAAAAGCTTTTATTGCCAAGTTATGACTGTTGTCTTGTACCAATTTAAATACTGGTGTTTAAGAAATTAATGTTTTTCATGCACATTATGGCTTTGAGCTTAATGCCGGAGTGTTTTCTTGAAAATATTGACGAATTATTCTAATCTGCTTCTGTGCAAGCCAAATATCTACGTCAATAATAATACAGAATATATTATTACAATAAATTAGTGAGAATTAAAAGAATTAAACTGAAAACCTCAAAAAAATGCCCTTGGAGTAAAGTAAAATAAATATGTGCCCTAAATATATATAATAGAATGTTTGGAAAAACATATTTCTAAAAAATGCAAACAGTTCTAATAGTGCAGTATGATTTTTAATACCAGAATTCAAGATCTTCAAGTATCGGAGGTGTTCCAAATTTCAAGTATTGTCAAGATAACGAATTCAGTTTCTTGATTAATCAGATGATAAATGTCTTCCATTTATGGTTTAACTATGGAAAACTTCCAGGAAAAAAGTCCCCAAAAGAGGTCACAATCATTTCATTAATGGCTGTGATTACTTACTGGTCAGGTCAGTAACAAAGCAGTAATATAAACACAGCAGTCTCAAAAGCTTTTTATGGTCTTTTTATGGCAATAACATGCCCATTGGGATTAACAATGGCACAATCTTTCACTTCTCCAAGTTGCAATGGTATTAGTTCAGTACCAAAATGCTAATAGCTTATTAACAATTATTCTTTTAGATTTGTGATGCAGAAATCTAGAATGAGAATGTTAAAAGAACTTGGCAATAAAACCACTGGATTTGCTTGAGTCTGAATAATTTACAGGTGCCTTTTTCTGGGCTGTTGACCTTAATGTTATAGAGCTCTATGTTCAGAATTGTTAATGTTCCAATACATTTCCTACACTGCAGTGTTGTCTTGACAAACAAGAAGCAAAGCTTTTTCCATAAGCCTGCAAATGTTTGTTTTAGTTGGAGCAGTACAGCTAATAATACTGCGACAATTTTTACAGGCAAGCAAATGGAAGGAAAAACCAGAAACTTTTATGAGTATCTGAGTGGGTAGAGAAGGCAAACAGTTCATGAAGAATAACGTAAATAAATGAATATAAGTATACAGACTACAGAAACAATGCTTTCAGCCAAATTAGTCTATTCTAGTGTTTATGTTCCACACAAGCTGCCTCTCACCCTCCTTGATTTAATATGTAATCCTAAGTATGCAGCAACTGTGAGACAAGACCTTACATATTCCTGATATTTAACGAAAGCTGTTGGGGAAACTCAAATCTGAAGAAGGGTCCACAGCCGAAACGTCAGTTTTCCTGCTCCTCTGATGCTGCCTGGCCTGCTGTGTTCATCCAGCTCTACACCTTGTTATTGGGGAAACTCAAATACTGGGTTTCCTGCTCGATGGCAGTGTGCATTATACCAATAAAATCAATACCCTGTTCAAAATGCAATATAGATTATTTCAATTGACTGAAGTGATAAGTTAAACTGTGGTGAAGAAATACCACTATATAGAGCAAATGCAGGAAGGAACCTGCATAAACTCAGTAAAGGGAGAATTGTGAAAAAAAGACCAGCAATGTCTATTCGGAAATCAGAGTCCAGGTCAACTTTAACACCACAGGATCGAAACAAAATTCATCACACCAATCTTTTACCCCTCAAAAATGGAACAAGTTGGTGTAATATGTATTGTTATATATCAGAGGGCATGGTTATCCAGACTGAAGCTTAAGGGTATGCAAAGTGCTCCTTCAACAAAACAGGAAAGACCATCAGAGGCTGAGGGGTGGCCTTACAGACGTTTATAAAATCATGAAAGGCATGGAGAGAGTAAATAGCCAACGTCTTTTCCTGGGGTAGGGGAGACCAAAACGAAAGGGTATAGGTTTAAATTCAGAGGGGAAAAAAGACTTAAAAAGGACCTAAGGGGTAACTTTGCAGGGGGTGGTGGGTGCATGGAATGAGCTGCCAGAGGAAGTGGTGGAGATGGGTACAATTACAATATTTAAAAGACATCTGGATGGGTATATTAATGTGGCGGTACGGTGGCTCAGTGGTTAGCACTGCTGCCTCATAGCACCAGGGTCCCAGGTTTGATTCCATGCTCGGGTGACTGCCTGTATGGAGTTTGCACATTCTCCCCGTGTCTGCATGGGTTTCCTCTGGGTACTCCGGTTTCTTCCCACAGTCCAAAGATGTCCAGGTTAGGTGGCTTGGCTATGCTAAATTGTCCACAGTGTTAAGGAATACGCAAGCTAGGTGGGTTAGTCATGGGAAATCCTGGGTGACAGGGATAGGGTGGGGGGAGGTCTGGCTGGAATGCTCTATGGAGGGTCGGTGTGAACTCCATGAGCCAAATGGCCTGCTTCCAAACTGTAGGGATTCTATGATTGATCCTATGATGAATAGGAAGGGTTTAGAGGGATATGGGCCAAATGTTGGCAAATGGGAGTTCAGATTGAACGAGTTGGGCCGAAGGGCTTTTTTCTGTGCTGTCTGACTGTATTTAAGCCAGCGGGTGAATGAAGTCAGCCTGTGTACCTAAGCTAGTTAGAAACAATGGCAGAACTCTGGTGGTGGTTATGGTGAGCCCTCCTGCAATAAAAAAAGGTGTTTTTGAATATTTCATTACAAAGATTAACTGTACTTCTAACTATTTAATTGGAATTGCTGCAGAACCACAAGACTGCATACAGGATTTTTCTTGCTGAATGCCTACTGTATTTGGTGTGCAAGGAGACAACTAAGAGACTGGCAAACAAATACACTGTAAATTAAAATTACTGGTCTGTGCCACAGTGAAGACACTTGTGCAGTTGGTGAACAAAGTAGATTTTTTAAGTAGGTTTACAAGTGACTTTCCCAGTTATTGCGGTGCATTATAAATGACAGAGTTCCTGTAAATCTTAGCTGTCACAAAATTTAGAAAAAAAATTGTTTAAGAGAGAAAGCTTTTTGAAGGTCAGATGATACCTATGATCTAAAAAATTACACGATGATTATGTAATGGACACTTCCTCAGGGAACTACACCATACATGGTTACAGCAGAGCTACAAAGCAACTTCAGCATAATTTTCTCAGCGTTAAGAAAATTATAACAAAGTGTTCACTTTTATGAACTACAGCCAGCATGTATTCCTAATTTGAATAAAAAAGACAAATTCATATGATACTCATGATTGAGGACAATTCCACAAAACAGTTGAAACCAGACGTGGATTGCAAATACGTGAGCAATATATTTAACAGATAATACCAGTAGTAATGTGTTTCAGTAATTACCTGAATTTTATTTTGGATAAATATTCCAATGCATTAAATAATCTAAAACCGAAACACTTCTAGGATCGGAACTGACCACCACAAAAGAGTTACTGAATAACAGATAATTCTAGAATAACTAGAGTAGATTCTAGAAAGGTAACTATGATGCATCTCTCAGTGACATGAAATCATTCTTAAGTGTACACACACTGGCTCATTGCTAATCATGCAAATGAAGTAACAAGAGGTGATTGCTTTCCACACATGATGTATTCAGTATTGCAAATAAACTTGCCTGCAGTCAGGCATTTCCCATCTGCAGACCAGCCCCGCCCATTCCAGGTGGAAACTGGCTATTTATTTTTGTCTGAGTCTTTCTTCAAGTAACATCAGCTGCTCTTAAATCACAACCACAGCATGCACACTCAATTGATACCGCATTTAAAGATATTTCCTAATCTACTCAGAGATGTGAAACACCTTTGGAACAGATGGGACTTGATCCAGGCGTTCTGGTTCAGAGGAAGGGTCACTGGACCCAAAACGTTAACTCTGTTTTCTCCTCCACAGATGCTGCCAGACCTGCTGAGCTTTTCCAGCAACTTTGTTTTTGTTTCTGGTTCAGAGATTGGACACTAGCACTACAGCACAGCAGTCAACACGGCATTTAAAACATCAGCACCCACATCTCAGGCATATGTGCTTCATCCATTTCAAACAAGACTATGAAACATGTTGCCTCAGAATATGGTGGAAATGGCTTCATTATATATTTACAGAGGTAGATACATCCTTGTGAATCAAAGCCTTTTGTCCCTCCAAGGGGATTGTTGATGGGAATGTGGAATTCAAAACAGAGCCAGATCAACTGTGATCTTATTGAACGATGGAGCAGGCTCAGGGGGTGCAGTGATCCACTTCTGGTCCTGGTTCAGATACATGGAAGGGCAGGTGCAGCTCAAAACATATTCCTGATATTTAACAAAAGCTGTTGGATACCAAAATACTGGGTTTCCTGCCCAATGGCAGTGCGCATTGTACCAATAAAGTCAATACCCTGTTCGAAATGCAATTTCGATTATTTTAATTGACTGAAAAAGCCTGCATATGTAACTAAATACTACGTGAGCAGACAGGCTAAGAATTGTACAACGATTTGCTTTTAAAAAGAATGTGGATTTACATTATTGTTTATAAAGTGTCTGCTGTCGTACTTTACCCCATTTTTAGATGCTGGTTGTTAAATTGCAGTCTTGTTTCACTTTCAATGGTAGTAAAGAAGGTTATTGTGCTAAACCGAATTGAACAAGTGGGGAAAGACCTGGAATCATTCATCCTCTAAAGTAAGGGAATGGCTGGAAATAATGTGAATTGGTCTGATGCGTGCAAGACAAAGCTTTGACAAAATGTCTTTTTTCTGTAAACTTACACTTATTAAACATTTCATACTTTGAGAAATTGAGTAGTGAAATTTGGTCTTGCTGCCTTACCTTATTGTATCTTCTATCAACCGATCTGAGCTGCAAAAGGAAGGGAGAAAATCAATCATGAGAAAATATCTTACCACATAAATTTACATTTCTCCATTAGTTTTTCCATCTTAAATCTCAAATGTTGCAGTCCAAACTAACGAGAAACAATGTTCACTCATGGCACTGCCAACATAACATGTTCATGATTTCAGCTTCACTCCAACAGAACGTAAAACAGAACTTGGTAAGAAGTTAATTGCAGAGAAGCACTCCATATTATTTTTGCGTACCTTTTGTTTCCTGGTTTAGTGCGACAGCGAGGATGACCTGGTATCTAATTTCTACCCTCAGGAAACAAAAGATGAAACCACTTTCTAAAGCATAGACATATTTTCTCTCTCCAACCCAACCCTCCGCAAAAAGAAATACCTGTATTAGATGCACTGTTGGAGGCACAGAAGTAGAATGTTGTCTAATAGTACTACATTAACGCTCTTTGCTGAGGGTGATCAAAACATCTCAAGAACAATAGGGCTTGCAAACAACTCCTGGATCATTACCCTGAATGAGAACTATTCCCTATTATTCTAGCAGATGTATCTTTTCTTTTTCTTATGTAGAGTAAAGGTGATATCTCAGCTTTTCTGAAATGTCTAAGGCACATTACTGAAATTTTTGAAGTACTTGCAGAGAACATCTTATTTAAAATTTAATGTTTCTAACTATATTGGAATACTTTCTTAATTGGGAAGCATTTTCCTTAGCTTCTCTTTAAACTCACAATAGGGCTGTGCAAATCTGTAAACCATTGTTTGTTAACCACACCATAAAGTACATTCAAAATTAAATAGCATAGCTAATAGAGATTCTCAATCATACTGTAACTTGATGTTGCCACTATTGATGTACAAGGTTAATGTGCATGTAATATAAATTATGCATCTTTCGATCAACTCCAGGACACAAGAATAAAAAGACATCAGCAATCAATCCCAGGCAATAAGTTTGTAATATTTCCAAGCTTGCAGGAATGTGGATTGTGACGATGATGCAAAGTAGCTTCAAGAGGATTTGGAGTGGACAAGAACACAGCAAATGAAATATCATGCATATACGTGAGACTATCCACTTTAGGAGGAGGAACAAAAGGTGCAGAATATGCAAGTGAGAGATTGGAAATGTTAACATATAAAAGTGCTTGGATGCCCTTGTTAAGAAGTTACTAAAAGATGCACGTGCAGCAACAGGAAGGCAAATGATGTATTAGTCTTTATCAAAAGAGTATCTACATACAGGAATAAAGATGTCTTCTTTCAAATGTATAGTGTCTTGATACAATAACATCTGCAGGATTGTGTGTATACATTTTCCATAGAGGGAGTGCACTTGAAGTCTACCTAACCAATTGCTGAAACAGCGTAGAATCGGGGACACCCATCTGAATAGGGAGCACACCATTTAGAATTGAGATAAGGAAGAACTGCTTCATTCAGACAACTGAGAATCTTTAGAATTCTCCATGTCAGAGGGCTACAGGAGCTCAGAGACTGGATATATTCAAGATTGACATTGACTAATGATATTAAGAGGTATGGAATAGTGTGAGAAACAAGCATTGAGGTAGACACATCGGGCATGATCCAAAATGGTGGCGCAGACTCAAGGGGTTACATGGGCTATTCCTGTCCTTACATTCCTAAAACATTAAGAGCACGGACAATTGGGCAACAATGGAAAAACATCTTTAAATAAAAAGTAGGAAATTCAGAAAATGTAGAGATCAGTATTTGTAAAAAGACATCGCAAATAACATCCAGGAGATAAGGGACTGAAAACTTAAAATATAAGCAAACTCCCATGTGAAAGGGTGGGGGAGGAAATCAGGTTTGGAAAGTACTGGAAGACAGGAAAAAGTGAAAAGCAATAGAGATCTATAATATGTAACTAGCTAATGTAAAAGCACAGAAAAAGACAGGAGACCTGAAATGCAAACAGGAAATGCCACAAATAACTGTAGTGCTCAAAAAGAAAAAAAAACACAGGCCAACACAACCGTGTAGTAAGCTACCTTCTGAAGGTACACATGTAGCCATCTCCTGTCTCACGTGATGACAGACCCCCTCCCACAAAATCAGCACCACTGCTGAAGGCTAATTAGGAGAAATTACTGAAGTTCAATAGCAGACAGCTTTGAATTGCCCAAGGAAAAGGAAAGTCACACTTTCCTGGAAGCTTCCATTGAGATTGGTTGGAGCCATATAGAATGCCAAAAATAGAGAAGTTCAAAAGAGGGAACGGGAAAAGCATTTAGTTAGTTATGTGTCACTTAAGAATAGATTGGATATGCTTATCAAAGAGCTGTGTTTGCTCCTCAAAGTCAAGATTAATCTGTGAGCAATGGTATACAATACACTAACTAGAGAGGAGGATGTACATGTAAACCAGCCTCACACAAGAGTGCTTACAGTCCCTAAAATGGTGTGAAGAGATGATTAGACGTGTTACATTTCTCGTGATACCCAGAAAGTTCAATGGAAAAGTCAGCTGCAAGTTATGGTGGGGAGAAAACAAACAGGGCTATCCCTGATGGAATGATCACGATAGAAATTAAAGGGGGATTAAATCAAGAGGAGGTGAGCAAGTTTTTTGTTGAGATTAATGGGAATATGTGGTGAAAGCTGATCTGCCAAATGAAAGTGTTTGCAGCATGAAGGTGACTAAAATGGAGGCTCAGTCACATTTCACTATTCTAACCAGCAGTACTCCTCCCAGATGCATTATCCCCTCTGGACAGTCATCTGATCAAAACAGCCAGTTTTAAGACCGTGCTGACAAATGACAACTTAATTTATAAAAGAAAACTGGTTCCTGTACAAAATACGAAGACCAGCAGTGCACCGATGCAAAATTAAGTACAGTAAGTATTCTTAGTAATCCAAAATACAGGCGACTCCAGGGTGGAACTGAGAAAACTTTTTTGGGTACATTTCGTTTCAGAGGTCAACTAGTAGGATAAATATATTGTGAGCATTATTCCTGTCTGAAATGGAGATAACTGGGTAACTCCCTTGACAATCATGTCCAGGCACCATACTGCCAGAAATTACTGGATTGTGTATGGGTTTATCAGCAGATGTGGGTAAGCCATAAATTCTCTTTACCTCTAACTTTTTAAAAATTATTTTGCATTTCAGTACTTTGATCTAAATTGACTTAGCCTGCTGTAAATAGGCAATTGTGGAAGTCCCGTCCCATCTTCAACTCATAGCACAAATTGAACAGACGCTTAACAAGAAAATTGAAAATAGTGAGTAGGAGACAGACTCAACAATTGCAGCATACTCACTTATAAAATGAAGACTCCTTTATTATTCAAAAAAACATTTTTAAGAATGTTACTAATGAGAATTTCCATTCTAATTTCAATCATTATATATATGCTGGGACTATGAAAGAATGCTTGCATCTTTATTTATGAATCATAATTAGTTATCACAAATAATTACATTTTTCTACATAAACCGACAGCAAATTTCAACATGATTTCTCTGGCACGGTTCATGTCCTTAGGATCCTGAACAGCAGATGCACAAGAAGGGAGAGAAAAATAGAATAACAGCATACTTTGGTTTGTTATTCTACAACTCGTGTGTGTATGGAACATTGGCACTGGCCCAAAAGCAGATTTTCTGCCTAGCCTTCCATTTGGGACTAAAAGCCGAATGGGAGACTCAGAATTGGCTGATGCGAAGAATCTTTGACACGTCAAAAAATAAATTCCCCTTGCATAATTAAATGGAGCATAAACAAATCATTTTGTTGGAAAGGTTTTACAGGAAAACCTTCAGAGTCTATCCCCCTGATTTTCCAAAGGAAGATAACTTTATCATGCATAGCTTTAGAATCACTTCAGAACAAAACTGAAATGTATTTCGCAATACTTGGTCATCTATAATTAACAGGAGAATACTACAGAAAATCACTACATTAAATAATTAAATTGCTACATTAAGTAATTCCTAAACCAAATGAGTGTAGACAGCAACACTCTTGAAAGTTTTAATGACTTATTGACTATAGTAGAGGCAAATAATGCATGGTCAGTAAAAATGCTAAGTAACATTTTCCTGGATGCAAAGATCAAGATATTCATTCAGTGGTGGGAAAAATGGAAGATCTTAATTATAAACTATAATGATAAAAATGTGGGGGCTAAGTGAATATTTTCCAATAATGATGATAGTTTCACATTTTTCAAAATCTGCAATGATTGCATAGCATGATTTAGACCACTGTTGTGCAGAAATTTGTATGAAATCCAACAGCTTGTTTATGTTCCCACCAAAAAGCCTACTGGGACAACAGCAACTAACAAAAAACTGTACAATAGGCAAATGCTCAGTGATGAAATTTTCTAATCATATGGCAGATTAACATGAATAATATGTGAGAGAATTGAGATCCTGGCAGAAGAAGAAGGATGGACTACACTTTTAACCAAAGGTTCTTCCCTCTGGCACTGCAACATGATACTGCTCCTGGCACTGTAGAAATACTTCTCATGTCTGCATTTGAGGACATGATTATATACCTGCACTGACTAATAAATGTTTGCTGACATTTGGTGACAACTGAAGTCTAAACTTGTCTATAGCCTGTGTTTTTTTCTCATGCTTCCGAGATTTGTCAATCTCACCCAGAGAAGGGATGGAGAGAAATTGCAGTTTGGCTCCAAAATCTCCGAATGAGGAAGGAGGAAACATGCAAGTCAGCCATGATGCCTACACCCAATTGTTATCTAGTGATTTCCACTTCTAAATATAAACACGTGGGTGTCAAGTGAAGAATGGCTACTTGGATGAAGCGTTGACATAGAATGGCAGAGTCATCCATGTTAATTATGTGAGTAACTGTACAGACACAAAGGGACGCTTTCTTTTGCCATAGGAGATTCTTGCTGAATGGCATTGCAGTCCTGGGTAATGCTGGGTTAACTCAGTTAGCGGACTTCAAAGTCATCTGTATTTTTGATGGTCCTGAAGTTTCAG